GGGGCTGGAGATGGGCCTGGTGGGGGATCTTGGGGAACTCCCCTGCTAGTTACAGCTCCCAGTGGTGAGAGTGAGAGCCAGGGTTGGGAGCATGCCTGGCAGGGGAACTGTGGACAGTCCCCTGCTGGGTTGTACCTGTTGCTGGTAAACACAGGAACTAGGGTGGGGAGTGGGATAGACTGCACAAGGCAGCAGCACCTATTGGCATCTGAGTGCCAGGTGTGGGTTGGGTCAGGATGAGCTAAGTTGCAATACCCACAGGTATGTGCAAGGGCCATATGGGATGTGGACTGGAGTTGGGCTAGGCCATAGCAGAAGCTGGTATGTGAAGAAACTGGGGCTGGGCAGGCTTGGTGGGAGTTATTAAGAGTTATTGGGTGGGCCTGATTAGGCTGTGGAACCTGCTGGTTTGTATAAGGACGGTTCAGGCTGGACTGGGCAGCAGCAGCACCTGTCAGTTCACATGAAATGTGGAGCTGACAGTTTCATCCACTGGCATGTGGGTCAGCTGGTACAGGTGACAGACTACACCTGACGCTGCACTGGCTGGCCCACACGATAGTAAAGTCTAGGGCTTGGCATGGTAGCCTAGTGGCTAAAGTCCTTGCCTTGAACGCGCCTGAATCCCATATGGACACCGACTCTAATCCCAGCAGCCCCACTTCGCATCCAGCTCCTTGCTTGTGGCCTGGGAAAGCAGTGGAGGATGGCCCAAAGCCTTGGGACCCTGCACCCACATGGGAGACCTGGGAAGAGATTCATGGCTTCTGGCTTCAAATCAATGCAGCACCCGCCATTGTGGTCACTTGGGGAGTGAATCATCAGATGGAAGATCATCCTCTCTCTCTCTCCTCCTCTCTGTATATCTGATTTTCTAATAGAGAAATTAAATAAATCTTTTTAAAAAAAGAGTCAAGTCTGAGGTCACCCCAGGTGAGGTTTCTTGGGGAACTCCTTGCTGGAGCCCTGGACTTAGACACTTGAAACAGGGAAGATCACAGGAAGTGTTGTCCAACCTTGGAGTGCATACATCGGGACTGAGCCTCCCCAGCTGCTGGTGCCTGTGCAGTGGACAGCATGCCCAGATACACACAGGGGACATGACAGCCAGCTCATCTAGGCCAGCAGGGAATTTCAGGTGGCTCATCAGGAGATGTAAAACAGAACAGGTTGGACAATTCTGGTCAAGCTTTGCAGCATGTTCTTGGGTCTGTGAATGCACTAACGTGGACTTTGTCAACCAATAGATTTTGGAAGGATGCTTTTTCATCTCTGGTGCAATGACACTAACAACTTCTCAAAACTATCAGTCTCACTCAAGTAACACCCTTGGAACACTCTTCCCCTCATAGGGGTCGTTAATGTGTTGTCAAATGACCATCTCCCATTTCCACTTGCTGATCTACTTTCTCCCCTGTGGACCTTGAGAAAAAAAAAAACAAAAACTAATGTCTCATCCAGCTTTCTTCTGTACCTGAACCCCGTCCCTCTAATCAGAGGCCCCCATGGCTGTGCATCCCTCCTAACTACGTAAACAACGTTAAATACAATGTTGAACATTTAAGAGAGAGGCTGTTGTAGATGCGCATGCCTCATGTTCAGCTCCCAGCTCTGGCTCCTGCTTTCGGTCTTTTGCTAATGCAGATCCTGGGAGGCAGCAATGATGGTTCAAGCCAGATGGGTTTCTGTCACCCATGCAGGTGATGTTTCTAGTTGCCAGCTTTGTCCTGGCCCAGTCCTGGACAATCTAGCATTTGGGGAGCTAACCAACAGATGGGAACTCTCTCTCTTGACTAAGTAAATGGGTAAATAATTTTTAAAATTCTTTGATTTTCCATATGTAGATATGTGTGTGAGACTGAATTTTCTTCATCAGATGCAGCGTATTTCCAAAACCAAATGTTGAAAAGAAAATATAAAATCCTGCTATCTTCTAAGCAAATCGTGGAAACAGATTTAAAGAATTTTTAGAACATTGCTTCTGTTTTATTGTCTTTGTTTCAGAAAACAAGTTTTTTTTTTTCATAAAATAATGTAATATGTAATGGGGCTCTTTCAGTGATTACGCATTTTGGGATTTGTATCAATTTTAAATTTATGTCAGATGTTGAAGGATATAATCTATATGCATCAGAGCTATTTGGAGTCTTCAGAAATTTAAGAACAAGAACCGTTGAGGTAGTAGATAACTATAGTATTTCTAATGTCTATCCTTTTTGTGTGTAGATGACCAAATCTCTCAGGGCAGTTTGATCATTTTCCATGGCAACAAATGAACACATAAATTTTATAAATATGCAGAATCTTAAAAATACATGGAATAGAACAAACATAATTATTTTAATCCGAAATATCAGAAGTCAGGTATAGTTTCTAAATAGTGAAACATTTCATGTGTAGTTGAGAAAGAAGAGATTAAAATGTGTAATGTCTTGTCATCCTATGTCAAGATTCATTTTTTCCAAGTTGTCTAGTTCCACAGTACACGTCATCCAAGTAGTGATATTTACTTAAAATAAAAATTAGGGCTTTGGTTGTTTTAGATGCAACAGTAAGATCAGATTAAATCTTCTAAAGAACCTAAGTTTGAGAAAAGTTTTACAGGGAACTTTAGAACTGCCGTTCTGCACAATCAGTGAATACAATAATTTTTTTTTTCTCCCTGGGATGATAGAAGTATATCAATAACCACTCATGACGGTGAAATGACTAACAGATAGCAGTAGTTTGCTTTATAACATGTGCCTTGGGGGCTGTTCTCATTCATATTGGTTCCATCCTTTTGTAAATCTGACATCTTGAGGGTTACAACTATGCGATTTTTTCTTGATTATTCTCTGAGTTTATCTGTGAAAGTCTTATTTCTGTAGCAGATTTACTTTTTAAGGGTAAAGACTATTCTTCTGCAATGTTCTATTGGCAGGTGGTCTTGATACATGCTGTTCAGTTTAAAACCTGAAATTCAGAAAGTGAGTTTTCTCTGAGTATTTATTATGGAAAGGTAAGGTATTAGACACCAGTAGATATGCCTTGGTGTATTTTACCATTACACTGAAGAAACAAATGACATGAATTTAAGATGTGGAATATACAGAGTTTTGTTGTTTTCCAAAAAGTGTTCCCATGAAACAGTGGAATTATGAGAGAAGCCAATTTTTATTGGAAATCCTGCCTCCCTTGGAAACAGATTAGGGAAGTGAACAGTTTCAGTAAAAGAGCTGCAGAATTGTACCCTTGGTTGCACAATTTGTCAGAGAAATGATTTTAAATAGCCCTGAGAGCAGAATTGGTTTTGATTTCGCATTTGAACTGATGTTTTCCCTGGCAGCCAATGGGCCTTGTAGATATTGGTTTTCACTTTGAGGGCCTGAACCATTGTCTTCTTGCCTCTACTGTTGGCAGGTCCCCTCATTGGCCTTGTACCAGTGCTAGGTTGTTAAATGAGGAAACTCAACTTGGAACTATTAAATATATAAAGTAGAAAGCCAGGCTTTTCATCAACCTCATTGGGTCTAGAAATATGATTTCTTTGAATATAAATGCTGCCTTGCCATGATACTGTGCTGTGGTTAGTGACATTGCTTGACACCCTTAGTTAGATTTTTAACCTGATTGGGTTGAATGAAGTACATTAAATACCTATGTAAAAGAAGTGCATATGTAAAAGAAGTTGGGCTTAGAGCAGGGGTGCAGCTACACTGCTGGGTTCTGTGCATTTTAGCTGATGGGCCTTGAATGAGATCACTCTCAGGGCTTAAAGCTCACTCCATGTCAAATAGAGTAGCTGTTGGGAGGATTCACCGAGTTAATGCATGAAGAATGTTGCTATTATTATTGTTTTTATTTCTGCTAATTAATCAGAGCCTATTCTAGGATCTTAATAATTAAGCAGAGAACTACCATCTCCCTGCTACCATTCTGTTTCCACACCATTTAATTATGTTCTCTGCTGCTGTGGTGTTAACAATTTTGTTATATTTTTTGGTGAAGGTGATGTCTTTGGTGGAGAGAGGTGCATTTCAACTGTGTTTCGGGTTTTGAATATCAATATCTGCTCAATTATCTCCCTATATTTGCTGCCATTGGCAACAGCTAAGGCTTGCCGGTTGTTGATTAATCACTTCTACTGAGAACTTAATTAGCGACTTAATTAGGATCATCCTTGAGTGTCAGGCAGCTTCATCCTGAGCCAGCTGCAGGTTCTTGGCTAGCTGCAGCAAGCCCTCCTGGTTCTGGGATGGCTTAGACTTGGGAGGATGCCTGCTGCGGGAAACGCTTGTGCTTCTGTCTTACTATGATGATTTGTCATCCTTTAGATGATTGTCAGTTGCCTGTGATGTGTTCATGCACTGTCGCACACACAGCAGATAAGGGCATATGTCCACTTACAATGAATCGACCAGAAAAACGGGATTGGTTATTGAAATTCTTGTGATTATGCTAAATAAGCAGGAAGCATGCGTTTCTTTGCAAGTGTTGAAAAGGCAACTGTGCATTGTGAACGTAACAGAGTATTTCATTTTTCTGCTGAGTTAAAGTGCTTTCCTGCTGGCATCATTGTTTCTTAATGTCCTTTTTGAAATATTGCCATATCATTACAGGATGAAACCACTCCATTTTCTTTTTTACCCCCTTAAGAAAATATGGGAAAGTAAGGCAGAAGTACCCTTTTCTTGCCTTCCTTTCGCATGAAAGTAAAAAAGTTTGATTGTGTGAGGCACAATCAAGTTACTCCAGGAAAATCCTTCTCCCCCAGCCTTTGGGATGGACGATAACTTCGTAGCACCAAGATAAAAAAAAAAATACTACGTTAGTGGCCTCCAGTTCATGGCAAAGGGAATCCTTGGAGTCAGGTTTCCACGTGAGGACTAGCTGAGTGAAATGGAATTGGTTGACACAAGTGCATCTAGCACATTTTTGGACTGTCATTTGTTTTTAAAGGATTTAGGCAAATTGTGAACTTGGCAAAAGGAGCAATTGAAATGTTTTGTATCCAACAGATTTGCTGCTGCTTCCTGGAGAAGTGGAACAGGACATAGATGCCACTGCTCCTCCTTGTGTTCCTTCCATGGGCTGGTCTGTCACCCCTCATGTGAAACCACAACCTACAGGAGGAGCAGACACGGAAGAGGTACTCCGCAGGGGAGCCAGCTCTTCTTGACACTGGCTTTCATTTGTAACTTGTCTCTTCAGAAGAGTGCTACTGTACCCATGTCCTTTTCTTTTATTTGGGAGAATTTGGAATTCAGGTTGTTTGCTTGTTTCCTCTCATTGCCTTTTACTTTAGAAAATGTATCTATTTCTTTTAAAGCACTTGGCACATCATGTATTAATATGAAAGCTATTATTGTTCACATGTGCTGTTCAAATAGGACAGTGCTACCTATGGTCTATATGACAGAAATGGTAAACAGTTTTCCTATATCTTTTAGTCTGCTTACTTTTTTTTGTAATTATCTGATTTCTAAGGTCCTATAAAACTTTTATATTTGCTGAAGTGAGGCTGGATTGCTATAGCAGAATCTTAATAATAAATTGTCACGTGCCAACATGTAACAGTCCTGCAACATATAAGGCTGAGAGATGGGCACTAAAAGATGGGCACTCGCTATAGGAAGCATTAAAAACAAATAACACAAGATAAAGAAATAGTGGGGACCAGGGTTGACTGTTGGCACATGAGCCAGGCCCAAGAGCCCACAGCAACTCTCTGAGTCTGTTTTTATTCTGCATGTGCAAATCAAACATTACATAAATCTGAGGGTCTGAGATTACTTGTAGGTCACAGCAACACTGATTAGTGAACGCATTGCTTGATTGTTTTAGTGTCTGTCCTCCTGGGTGCCATACAGTCTGCTGAAGACCCCTCCTGAAGACAGGCCTGTGAGCCTGTATTTCCATGATGCTGATGGCCACCCGGCCTAGATGATGGCGTTCCATACCTCTGTCCCTGCCCATGGCAGGGGCCTCACCGGAGGGAGACAAGCCTCCACCCTGAACTTGTTTCCATTAAATAACCATAAGAGAATTAAGGACCTGGTCTCTGACAATAAGGTGAGGTTGCCTACTGAACAGACTGTGGTCTGCTCTAAAATCAGGTCTTAGGGAAGCCTGAACCAAGCTAGAGCTAAAGATAATAGTACTTACGGTAAGTAAATGACTGACAAGAAATCGAAGTTTATTCATCTTACTTCATTTCTGCAGAGTCCTCAAGTGAGCAGTTGACCAGGTGCCATGCGGTCCTCAGGAACCCAGGTTCCTTCTCTGTGGATGTCCACTACCCCTGTGACACCATCCACGAACCAGATCTCCGTTGGTCCCTGGAGGGTGGGGCAGAAAGCAGGGGCCAGCACAGTCCCCTGGGTTTGTGACTCACTTGTGCACCTTGCCATCATTGCCTCACCACTACTTTCCCAAATGCCTAATTTAAAAATCATCTTTTGCTGTCATTTTTAAACTCTTGGTTTTTTTCAGAGGTTTATTTATTTACTTGAAGGATAGAATTATAGAGGCAGAGTAAGAGAGAGAGAGACCTATATGGCTGAGTCTCTTACATGGGCAGTGACAGGAACCCAAACACTTAGGTCATCTTCTGCTGCGTTCTCAGGTGCATCAGTAAGGAGGCAGATCAGAAGTGGGGCAGCCAGGACTCCTATTGGCATGCAGATGAGATGCCAGAGTTGTAAGCAGTGGCTTATCCCACTACACCACAGAGCTAGCCTCTGTCCCCTGTCTGGTGTATGTGCACTTAGCCATTGTGTAACAACAGAGGCCGATGGTGCTGCAAAGGACTTTTCTCACCCTCTTTAATGAACACCAAGGGGGACCAGCTGGCCCTTGATTACTCCTTCCTAATGCAGTCTAGTTGCATGAACATTAGTTTTGTCACTGAAAGATATTCTGTTATGTAATCGGTTACTGAATCAGAAATAATGCATGCATTTCCATTGTAAATTGCTGGTTTTTTTTCATAGTACTTTTCTTTCACTGACATCACAAAAAAAATATTCAGATGCTTGAGAGCTTATACTAAACGTCCACATTGTTCACCAGATGAAGTGATAGGAGCAGTCTTTTTTTCAATATGCTTTTTGAATTAGAAATTGCTTTCTCCGAGTTGTCAGAAGCTAAATTGCAAGGTTATTCCCAGCAGAAATCAGCTTCGTTTTATGACATCCTCACAATTTTAACTTCAGTTGTGACCATGCAAGTTATTGGACAATTATATTTCAGTACAATTATAGGTTACATATATTGTAGTACAATTATGGAAATCGTTACAAAAGCCTTCAGTGAAAGCTGAGTGATTTCTGGAACCTATTACATACCAGCAAACTGCAACTTAAAACTCCATGCATAATCATTTTTTCAAAAGTAATACAAATTTCTTAAATTCACTGGGAATCTGAACATTTTTAAATGCTGAAATTAAAACGATTTGAGCAATTTTCATGTAGACAAACTCATGAGTCGTAGATGACTAACTTTTGCTAGTTAATATCCAGTGTTACATTTTGTTCGGGATTTAAAGTTTTTAACAGAAAAGATTTATTTATTTATTTGAAAGGAAGAGTTAGAGAGATGGTGAAAGATGCCTTCCATCTTCTGGTTCACTCCCCAGATGGCCCCAAGAGCCCAGGCTCGGGCTGATCTGGATCCTGGAGCTTCTTTTGGGTCTCCTGTGTAGTGGCAGACACCCAAACACGTAATCTACTGTGTTACTTCCCTAGCCACATTAGCAGGCAGCTAGATTGGAAGCAGCTGACACTACAAGTGGTACCCAATGCGGGATATCAACATTGTTAGTGACTTCACCCACTATGCCACAGGGCTGTGGGATTTTAATTTCTAAACATTATTTGTTAGATAAGCATTGCAGAACTGTGTGGATCATAGTACTGCATCAATTCTGTTCTGTCTTATTTGAAAGCATTGTTAGCATTAATCTTACTTTTAAAGACAGCCGACATCATAAGACAACATGATTATGAATTTCCAGCAAGTATGTCTCATAAAAGTCTGCCAGATGACCAATTGGAGCTAATAATGGTAATTGTTTTCTGTGACTTTACTCTGAAAATACAAAAGGTGTTCTGAAAGTTGTGACTTCCTCTTAATTTTTTGTCAGTGATCTATGAGCTTTCTGAGATAAGCTGGTTCATTTTTTCCCTAATTATGATTGTATACATGAACACTTTTTTTCTTAAAGAGGTAAAGATTTTCCAGTATCTATTTGTGAATAGCCTCTTGCCTTGGTTATTCTGTTTTGTTGATTTTGGGAAACTTTGAACTGCTTAATGAAGACTTCACCCTAGGAAGATGAGAAATTGTGTTTCTTCGTCCCTGTCCAAACCACAGACAAGATCAAGAAGAAATGTGTGTAGTATTTCAGGTTTCAGTAGATGTCCTGTTTCTACTTCATAATGGTACTCTGACGTTTTTCACTAAGAAGTAGTGTATCTGCCATATGATTCTGTATAGTAGCCTACAGCTAAATGCTCCCGTTATTGATTTGAGCATTAGTTCTGTTGTCTTTAATTTGCCTACACGGTACTGTGAATGAAAATGATTCCTCTTTTAATAGTGTTTCTGTTAAAATAAGTCACACGAGTAATTTTAAGTAAACCTGAAGTTTTATAATATTATACAAATTCTATTCCCTGAGAGGCTACAAAAATTTTTCAATTAGATTTGAAATTAGACACCTGAAATACACATCTTGCAGTTCCTTAGGCAGTATAACAAGTTAATAACTTAATTCACAGTTGTTTTCTGGTTAGCAACAGGGGATTTGGTATTCTATTGTGCATACTCTTCTGTGAAATAGATCAGAATTTCAGTTTTTAATCTGAAAACTTTGGAGTCTTTTAACTTACAATCCTAAAATGAACCTAATGTAACAGAAGAGAATCCCCGAAGATTTCTACAACAGGCAACAACTGAAACAGATACCAAAAGCTGTTGTTTGGAAGATTACAGTATGGTTTTCTGAATCACATTGCACCCGGTCTCACTTTGAATTACTACCATGTGCCACTTAACAGCAGGGCAGTGTTTTGAGAAATGTGTTGTTGGGTACTTTTGTCTTTGTGAACTGCATGAACCAAGCTGGTGCAGGTCAACCATTTGATGTGGGTCTTGATACAATCAGTAGAGGAGATGGACAAAAAGCGTATGAGGCTGCTGCCGGCCTAATGGAGCATAAATTTTTTTTTTTAAACTTTTTTTAAACTTTTTTTTTCTTAAAGTAGAAAGGACACACTATAAAATCAGGATAAAGTATACATAGTAAATATGTAAGCTAGCAGCACAGTTACTTATTGTCATTCTCAAGTGTCCTGTTTGTATTTGTACATGCTATACTTTTATGTTGCTGGCAGGAAGACCGGCTGGTTGATACCAGGATGGTAACAAACATGCAAGCGCACATTAAAACACTCAGTTTCGGTGTCACCAGGTGAGAGAAATATCTCAGCCCTACTTTGTCTTCTGGGACTACTTTGGAGTGTGTGACGTGCTGTTGAACCAAATCATGGCTGTGTGGTGCTTGATTGTATATATGTGGAAAACTCTACATCAAGTATGCCTGTCTTAATCAATTTACTTAGTTAAAATGCAGAAAGAGCAGGTACTGAACTTAGTAGCATGCATAAACTAGGTATGCAATAAATATTTATTGAATAAACAAACGTTCTTGAGGAAGCAACTTTACTGCTTACTGAGAGTAATTCTCTGACATAGCATGGTTGGGAACATTTTTTTTTTCTCTCTATTGGCTCATTTCCTTCAGCATGCAAACATGTTCAAGTCTTTTTCACTGTTAACAAAATGAAACAAAGCAAAGAGAAACAATCTTTCCTTCGCCATGGACTTTTTTGATTACTCTGTTTTAACATGTATTTTTCTTTCAGATTCCAAAAGCCATTAGATTTGACTATACAGGTTGTCTCCTCTTCCAGCTTCCCTCATTCCTCATTCAGTATATCATGAATGGTCTCTAGCTCTCATCATCTGACCGAACATATTCAAGATTTAAGCACTAGATACTTTACAGTCATTCAATCTGGTGTATATTTTTCATCATTTTTTTCTTTTATGATATAGTACCATAGGCTCTAGGATTTCTTCCTC